ATGGGAGGATTAGCATGTTGTAAGAAAAAAAAAATAGAATGACAAAATAGTCTGAGACAATGTGATGAAGGCACCCAAGTGCACATACTAGATAGAAACAACCTCATTTATTCCATATATATTCCATTTCTGAATATCAAACTTCAGTGAAATCATGTTGTTTCCAAAGAATATATCAGAACCTGAACTGAAAACTGGTCTACATTTTCATTCATTTCAAAATCAGAAGATAAGAGGAATCCATGATTTGAACATTTCTATAGAATGTCTGTTTTTAAAAGCAGATTAGGCCTCTAATCTCTTAAATCTCATGGTATTAAACAACAAGAGCAGGCATAACAGTAATCTCACTGGCACTACCAATAATATGTACAAAAAGCTACTATTATGGGTTTGTCTGTACTTCTGTGCCCTGGGTGGTGGTGACTGAGCTCTTGAAAGCTGCAATCTGTTTATAATACATTGCCTTGGGAATCACATAATTAATAAATGGAAAGATTAAATAAACAGCTTATGAATACCAATAGCCTGGTGACGCAAACAGCCTGCAGAATTCTCTCCTATATCCTATGCATTTGCAACTGATCATTTTTGTTGACACTTGCAGACAGCTTCACCTCCCCGTAGAGGTTGATACGAGCTTTATTGCTCTGGGGAGGCTTTGACTTGCCTTGCCTTTATTCCTACGAAGGTCAAGATGCTTCTGCCTCTGAGTGCCACCACTTGCTGTGTTTTGCTCCTATGCCTGGATCCAAATCCAACACAGGTTTAGACGGGCTTTCAGATTTTAATTTAAAGAATGTTTAGACCCCTGGCATGTTCACTTATTACTTATGAGACCGATATCCTCTAAACAGAGCATTTAGTGCTGCTGACCTGGATTTAAGAGAAAGGACGATGAAGCAGGCTTTAATCACAATCAAGAGAAAGTTTAAGCAAAGAGAAGAATGTCTGCTGAAACAGCAAAGTCTTCAGATGAATTAGGAATTATCACTGATTCCAGGTTGTGGGAGCCATAAAAGAAGTCTGTTTCTTGTGCGTTTTAGGTAGTTTGTGGGTTTTAAAAGTCATTCTACTGTATCTGAATGGGTACCCTCTGGCTTTGTAGCATCCTGCCATTCTGAGACAAGAAATGTCAAAATAGACAAAAATGATATCTTAAGTTCTTAAATAGGTTTCCCACACTTTGAAAAAGAAAGCAAAGCCACAAAACCTGAAGCAAAATGGAAAATGCTAGCACCTTCCAGTGGGTCGTATGGCTCTGCCAAATGTAACCTGCCCATCGCTACCCTCCAATGTTAAGGACTTTCCTGACCGGTCAGAACAATGCATCCCTACCACCCATAAAATTGAATCGTTAATATAAAAGTAAATTCTCTTACAAGCAAGATCCATCTTTGATCTTACAAGGAGACAGCTGGTACAGAATTTAGCTTGAGGTGCCACCCCCAAGAACTAGCCTGGGAACAGACAGGCTGTTGCTGTCTGAACCATTCAACATGCTAACTAATTCATTTAACCTTGGGTTACTCAATTTTCCCAAAAGTCTGGGCTTGCGCAACATACTCAACCACAAGTAGGTGGGCAGCTTTGCACAATACACTCTGCTCAAAAGTAGTTGGATAATTTATGGTTCAGTGAGTGTGTGAACACAGGACAATTCTGCATTGCAGTCAAAGCTGCTTGTCTCCCATGTTGCTCCTGCTTCTAAAGCTGACTTTGGAAATTCCAATCCAAATTGCAGTGGGTTGGCAACAGGACTGGCTGGGTGCTCAGTCTGGACTATACCCACCACAGGTCCTGACCCTTACGTGCCTTTTCCTTTTCACTAATCCCCAAGCTTTTCCTTTGCTTTCCCAGATGTTTGCACATGTGGATGCCTTTAGCCCCTTCCCACATTATCTACTCTGACCCCTTCCTTTTCTCCCTGATAGTGCCATCAGAGCTCCAATCCTACAATCATCAAAGCAAGTGGAACAATTGTTCTTCTGTTTCTCTCTTCATTTGTAGAAACAAAGTGGCAATATTCCTACCTTGCAATTTAAAGATGCTTAAAAAAATTAAGGAAAGGAAAAGAAGTTTTGCAGTACTGCAGGACGGGTGTGGAAAAGCAAGGGGTTTTGCTTTACCCAGTCTGGGCAGAAACTGAAAGGTGCCCACTGGGAGATGTAAGGGTTGAATGGAGATGAGCTTCTAGGGTTAAGGATAGCTCATTGACTTAACAGGCTACCGGTGGATCTCCTGCTAATCATCAGAGAACGTAGCAGTCTGGTAACTCAGAGTGAAATGGCTGCCCAGGGCAGTGCCTGGCCACTGAAGGAGAAGAGACATGCCAGGTACTGCATCCAGTGGGAGCTGGGGCTGCTACTAAAACAGAACAAAGCACCGGAGAAGAGCTTAGGACAGCTCAATTGGAAAACAACAGTTCTGAACTGAAACTCAAAAATAAAGGTGTGGGGTGCATTTCCAATAGGCTGGGATTGAGACAAGAACAAGGTCAAGTGTTCCTGTACTCAGGAAGCAGGGAGTGGCCCATATGGTTGATAGTTCTCAGCCTTGCAGGGTAGTCTAGACAAGAAGTATACCCAGCAGTACTAGCTCTAACTTTATTGTAAGGTTACATTGACAGAATCTTGCAAGTCTGAAAGTACATCTCTCCCCTCTCTTCATCTTTACAGTCCAAGAAACTAGGGAAGGTACCTTCTGAGATGTTTGCCATGCCCACATTCCTTCTGTAGGCTAAGCTGCCACTTATCGAACTGTTGCCCTGGCTGTGGCTCTTCCCCCTGTCTCCCAAGGTAATTTCCACATACAATTACAATAGTCACTGGAAAAGGACTCTCAAAAAGGGCATGTGCCTTCATCTTTTGCTTCTGGGCATCCCACAGACATCCTGTTTTGGATCTGCTTCATTTGTTTTTCATCTCAAGGCTTCCTCCAATGAGTTTTAATCCAACAAAGTTTTGAGTCTATATTTTGTGTTTTTAATTTCTATTGGACTTCATTTCTCTTGGGCTCCACCCTCAGATTCAGATTTCTTCCTGCTGATACATCATACATCTGATTTAAGTTTATAACACTTATAGCAGCTGAAATCATTGAACAAAACAGATCAGCTTCTAAATTCTGTTGGGTAGAATGATTAAAGTAATTTAAAAACAAGACTGTATACTCTGTATTTTAACTGCAATGAATCCTTTGATATCCTACTGGTTTTACTTGACTGGTGGGATGAGTGGCTGGAATAGCCATATCTAAGTTAAATAAATAGTGGAAACTATTAGAATATTTGTATGGGGGCTTATTTGGTTATCTCATCAGTCTCAACAAAAATGCCATGAGGTTCAGGAACACATTCACATTTTTCTCAGTAGGTGGTGCTACCTCTTGAAATTCTGAATGTTATGCTGGTTTCTTGCATGATAAGCATACAGTATGTATCTTTCCTCCTAAAATATACACATGCTTTTCCATTGAGACATGCATTTTGTTTTCAAGATTTATTTGGTAACTAAGCTATACAGTCAAAATTAGTGGTCTCACATAATGGAGCTAAAAGCCTATCTATATACAAGTCCCACTGATACCACTAAATAAGACCCTATATGTAACTGAAATCAGCAGAGCTTATATTTTAACATTGGCTGAATACCAAAAGTGCTTTTAATTGTGGAGTTCAGTTTGAGGACATTTGATCAAAGACTCTTCGATATCTTCCAAAGTCAGGGTGATAAGAAGTTCTCACCTGGTCACAGATGGCATTTCTAGGGAAGGGGGACAAATGTCATGAAGTTTTATGTGCTTGTGGAAATCATCACTCTGCCCCCCGAACAAGTGGCTTATAGCTCTTTACATTCAGAAGGCAGAAAGAGGCACAAAAATCTGAAATCTGGTTTCTTTATAAATAGGGCTTACCTTTAACACCAAGAGTCACTGGAATTGTTTTGTAATGGCTTCATTATTTTTTCTACAATAAACCTATTTATCAGAAGTTCTTGTATTCCTGAATGCCTCTTTGTCTGTTTCCAGTCTAGCTTTCCAAGAGAAGCGTGATTGTCTAATGAAGTGGGAAATATCTGGATATTACAGTGATACAAATGCTTTTTCTTAGAACTCCTAGCATGAATTGCTTGCTTTTATTTTAAAAGCAGAAGTAGACTGCACTGTTTAGCTATTTTGTTTTGTGTAGTCTGTTTGTTTTTGTTTTGTCTTGCTTCCTTCTAGGCTGCCTGGCTAAATCAAGCAACCTCGATTCTTTATAAAGCACCCACTCTTCCACAGAGCTAATTACAATTGGCTAGCACTACTGATATTTGCTATCCAAGATAGTGCTCTCTGTGTGATGCCCCATATGACGTATCATGTCCTATGTATCATATTTATATGATGCTTGAAATACAAAAAAAGAAGTTCTTTGCAATTGTATTGCACATATAGATACAAAGAGACTGTTGCAAATATCAATATGGAAACAATAAACCCGGGAGGGATCCTTGAGATGAAGTGTCAGATAAGGGACAAGATAGAATAATGTTCAGCTAATCTTAAAAGGGATCAATTAGTTTGTTTTACTGGGTTCGTTATGATTTTTCATTATAAGTCATTTCAAGAAGAAGAAAACATATGTCGTGTAAATACACACAATGGGAGTAGCCCAGAGAAACTGAAGCTTTATCCCAGGTACAAGCATAATGGGAAATTAGTATTTGTGCTACTCAATTAATAGTCCATCTTGAAGCACCCCACTCAGCAAGGGGGCATTGATGCATCCCTAAAGGGCTAGAAGGATAACCCTTCTTTTGGCCCTTGAGAACAAAGAATCTACAATTCAAGTTATTCATTTCATATACACCATCAATATTGCTTTTACATTTGCATTTGTTTCATCTGAACTTTGTTTAAAGTTTTCCAAAAACAGCTACTAGCAATGCCAAAGGAAACATTTATTTCTTCCTTTGGGTTTAACAATCAGTTTATAAATGACTGCACACACAGCTTGAATGGCAAAGAAATTTATTTTTTAAATATTTAATAAGGACAGGGAGTGCAACTCTAATCATGGTTATTTTCAAATTTTGCTTTCCCCTTGAGGGAAAACCAGAACCACACAACTCCATACAGCAATATGTTAACAGCTTGATTTTGAAGGGCTACATGTTCCCCCCCCATCAAGGTAAAACATACATTATAGTTATTGTAATACTATATTATAATACTATTATACTATATTATAATACTATAACTATTATAGTATTATAATATAGTACATTATAGTACATACCACTCTTGAACATATCAGTTTTCACTGGATTCACAAGATTGTGTCTGGCCCCATATCTCCATGTCTCCAGAACACCTTTAGTCTTAGGGAAGTCATCAGCTGATGAGTTGATTAACTTCCACTTCTGCTATTTTGCCATGTTTGCTCTGACACCGTAGGGCAGGCAGTTTTCCATCTCACCCTGATCTCCCCTTCTTCCTAAAGTGAAAGTGCTATAGAGCTTTGCCATTCCTTCCCACCCACCCATCCCCCTCTGCACTGGCAGTGGGTTTTTTCAGCCTCCCTGTGAAAGCAGATGGAACAAAGCAATGACAAGGGAAGGGTGCTGGCTGGAGCACTGATTGTTCAACTCCCACTTTGGCCAACAGGATGGCCTTTCCATTCTCTTGCTTCCGTATCCTCTCCAGCCCTGGAGAACACCAATAAGGAGACTTGTGCAGTGGTATAAATCCTCTGCACAGGGAGGAGCCTGATGGCAAGGAGCCCTGGGATAACTGCTGGTTACCTAAATGTGGGATACATTGGGATAACACCTTGCCTTGCCTTCCCTGGCTTAGAATAATCACAGTTACATCTCTAACTGACCCGGATGTAGTGACTTGTTCTATCAGGTCTTCCTTCATCAATAATAGCTATGAGTTTCCTTCTGGAGTGGAGAGGCATGGGGAGAAGTGTTCTGGGCTTTTTTTTAGCTGGTGGGTAATGGCAGCTTGAAGCGTGTCTTCAACCCCAGGGTTTTGTCAATGACTTCCACAGGCTGCAGGCTGTGCCACTGTGCCACAGGCCTGCGAGGATTAGCCAGCATATCTGACCAGTGGTGCAGCTGGTTCCCTGTAGCCCGGCAGCTCAGGTACAGCTTTCCAATCTGCTCATCCTTGGTCACTTTGTCATGATCCCAGACTGAAATCACCAGGTCTACATTCTAGAATGAAAACGTAAAGCAGAGAGATGAGGGGAGGGGAGGCAAAGGAAGGGAAAACAAAGGAGAAAGATGGCTTTACAATGCAAACATAGGAATTGCGTATCTCCCTGCAGAGTGCCCACTGCACTAGCTTTCCCCCAACCTTCACTGTGTTAGACCACAACTGCAGAATTCCCAACCAGAATGTCTGGTGACCGAGTAAGGCAATAAAGCCTGGGGAAGCCTGCTTTAAACACTGGTGCCTTCTACTTCTAACAGCAGGTACATGGGGAACATTTTGGGAGTTCATGCCATTTTACCATTACAACTTTAGTTGTTTTCTATCCCACTTTTGTACTGACATGCATTTTTATTTCCCAAATGTCAGCCCAAATCCCTGCTTAAGAAGAGCTGCATAATAAAGATTCATGGGTGGAAGACTTTAAACTTTACAACAATGCCTTATGATGCACCCAAACAAAATAGCACTTACAATCTGCCACAAAATGTCTAAAGGGCAGCCTCCTCTAAACCTGTTTCACACCATTATGGCAGATATTAAATATGGTGTTGATATTTTTTTTTCTTTCTGAGTTGTTATGTTAATTTGGTTTAGGTACAAAATAACATTAGCCTTTTGTAGTGAAAGAGAGTAACAGAAATGCAGTAGCAACAAGAACCAAAACAATTCAGTACAGGTATTCCTCACTTAACAACCACAATTGGGACCAGCAGTTCTGTCACTAAGTGATGTGGTCATTAAGAAAGACATCATGTGACCATGACAGACTTATGACCTCACTTCCACCATGGTCGTTAAGTGAATCACCCACAGTTGTTAAGTGAGACATCATGTGACCACGACTTGCGATTTTACTGCTGGCTTCTCCATTAACTCTGCTTGTCGGAAGCTGGCTGTGAAGCATGCAAATGGCAATCCCGTAATCGTGGGATGCTGCAACAGTCAAAAGTGTGAGGACCAGTCATAAAGTATTTTTTTCAGTGCCATCGTAACTTTGAACAGTTGCTAAATGGGGCAGTTGGTAAATGAGGACTATCTATATAAGAAGATAAATTTTTACAGCAGGCCTAAATTAGGTGAGCTCAAAACATCTGCAAAAGCAATAGTACTTCTAGAGATTATTCCACTCTCTACTAATGTGTCTCTGCTATGAAATGGCTTTGACTAGGCTTACCTGGATCAAGCTGAAGGGTACTTCAAAAACAAAGGCTTCATTGAAGTAGGGGTTTAATGTGTTTTTCTTTACACGTGTCTTCTTTTTCTTCCATTTCTTTTTGTTCAGAATGAGTTGCACTTTGACATATGGATCTGGAATGGAAAGTAAAGCAAAGAACAGTTGAAGCAATTTAATCCAGAAAAGATTTTCCCCAGATATTAAAGGGTTTCTGAACACCATATCCCAGCCTTTTGGATCTCCATAAAGAATCCTACCTCATATACTGTATGGCTACTTTATTATAAAGCTTGATGGCTGTGTCAGCACCCTTTAGTATGTTGGCTAGGTATTTGGTTTGGAGGAAAAAAACCATCTTCCTGAAAAGGTCACCATGAGACTGCAGTGCTGATGTGAGTTTTTGGGAGGAAAGTGGAATTCATCCCCACCAGCTTTTACAACCAAAACATATCATCTTACTCAAATACAATACAGTTCCCTTTTCCTAAACAAAATAACAGTAATCTTTTGTTCCAGAAATCAGGAGTCTAGTAGCGCTTTTCTAACTAACAAAATTTAGGAAAAGACATCAGCTTTTCTAAGCCGCAGTTCATTTCATCAGATGTATAGATCCACTCTATGCATCTGATGAAATGAGCTGTGGCTCACAAAAGCTCATATCTTTTAATAAAATATTTTAGTTGGAAAAGGTGCTACCAGACTCCTCCTGATTTTTGCCTACCATAGACTAATACAGCTCTCCTACCTTTCTGCCAGAGCACTATGATATGCATAACAGCAGCTAAGACAAACCATCCCCTTTCATGACACAAGAGAGAGAAGATGGTAGTTCGTACAACAGAGATTAAAGTTATATCTTTCCTGTTGCCAAGGTCAGTAGCAAGTCAGATCAAGAGAGCTGATATGGGGCTTGACGTGTTGCCTTAGACAGAAGGGGATTCAAAACTGAGTGTGACTCCAGGATCCATTCGAGCAACTTGCATTAATGGGCTTCTGCATCAGCATTACATTCTTCTACTCTCCATAATGCACTCCAGCAACCCGTCCTCCATACCTGATAATCCACTTGCATCCATATGCTTGAGTTTTTTGGCTTCCAAAATGACTACCGTTAATTTGCTAGTACTGGGGACATATCGCAGTGAGAAGCAGATATCTCCAAGGTGCTCTTGCTGTGAGAAACAAAAAACACAGGAGAAGACAGAAAGAGTAATGTGATTCACTAACAAAGGGCTAAGGGGTGAAGCCAAAAGTCCCTGTTACATCGTGTTAAATGCTGAGGAATACTGTTGTTGCTCCAGAAATCATTTTTCTAAGCTCAGAGAAAGGGAAACTATGCCATTGACACCACAGAGGTGAAAAAAAAAAGTATTCTTAATAGGCCCCAAACCATTTTCGGCTCTAATTACCTTAATTCTTCAGGAAATCAGTGGTCTTTGCTTAGAGAAGACATACTGGACCTTAGGCAAATTCAAGTTAAGCCAAATCAGGGATGATGGATGATATCTATGATCAGATTTCCAGACTTTAATAAAGATGGAGGCATCATTTTTTTGCACCCATGAGCCATTTGACCCCTAGGACAAATGGCCAGAGATATGATGTGAAGCAGGGTTCCTCAACCTTGGCGACTTGAAGATGTGTGGACTTCAACTCCCAGAATTCCCCAGCCGGGATGTGGGCGGGGGA